GGCATAGGGCATAGTGGTGTTGGGTTGACGGTTGGACTCGATGATCTCTTTTCCAACCTTGATGATTCTATGATTCTATGCAGCACAGGCATGGCGCTGAGATGCACCGACAACACGGGCCTCAAGTTGCGCCAGGGGAGGTTTAGATTGGATGTAAGGAAAAATGTCTTTACTGAAAGAGTGGTTAAACATTGGAACAGGCTGCCCAGGGAAGTGGTGGAGTCACCATCCCTGGAAGTATTTCAAAGATGTGTAGATGAGGCACTTAGGGACATGGTTTAGTGGGCATAGTGGTGTTGGGTTGACGGTTGGACTCGATGATCTTAGAGGTCTTTTCCAACCTTGATGATTCTATGATTCTATGCAGCACAGGCATGGCACTGAGATGCAGGAGGCCAACAAGGACCCGTGCACAGTCTCACTGCCCTTTTTGGGTGCCCTGGTGCAGACAGGATCACCTTTGCTACCTGTCCCCACAGCACTTTGTGCAATAGTCCTGACCTAAGACTTAGATGCCTGAGCACTATCATAATGTGAGTAATAAATAACAAAACCAGCCAGGGTATTCCTGTTTATCATGCTGCATCTCTCTGAGGATTTTTTGCTTTTGTTTTATAAGGGGTTATCTCTCAGCCCTTGCCATTTTTACCGTCTTAGTTTTGCTTCCCCCCCGCCACAGTATTTCAATTCACCTACACCACGTATTTCACAGGAGTGCATTCTTGCTCTTGTTGCTGAACACAGCAATTGCTCGCACCAAGTGTGGATCTCTGAGCAGCAGCTGGCAGGCAGCAAGTCTCCCAACACAAGGCCTTCACCTGTTCACATGAAGCTTGGAGCTGCAGCAAACTCTATTTTTGGCAGCTGCCAATCTTACAACCAAAGAAAAGGATCCTAAACAAAACTGGAATATTTTTTCTCTCTTACCCTGGCATGCAGCACGAGGTACGTGTCCCTGGGGGAGCCCCTTCTCTGTGTGCCCTTCACTAGGGATTTTGTGGCTGCTGCTGTTTTGGTAGCTGCTACTTCATGCAGATGATGAAAAACTCACCTGGCATAGTGCAACTTAAATGAAAACCTGCAATTTGTGCTGAAAGAATAGCTACAGAAACACACAACCTGAATGTGAACACAGAGATGCTGCCCCAACACCCGCCCCCCACGCATGGCACATTGGTAACCCCTAACCCTGTACCAGGGCAGGGTGCCAACCTGTACATCCATCCCCAGCCCTGCCGCTCTGCCCGGGCTGCAAAGAGCTGCACCAGCCATGCATGTGCCCTGGGCCCCTCCCACAGCCACCGTGCAGATGGCAGCGCTTCTGCTGCTGTCAGTGTGGGGCCAGGTCGGTGGCAGGAACCATGGCATTAAAAGCTTTAGATCTTGGTGTCAGAGTCTGCAGTCTGTCAGGGTGACTTTGCCTTAAAAACTAGGAAGGCAGTAAAGATGAAAAATGGTTTTGCCATTTTCTCCCCGCCTGCCCTCAAACTATTTATCCCCAGCAGGATGCTCCCAGCACACCGCTCCCATTCCTATTCCTGCGCGCCCACCAGCCACCGGCCAAGGGCTGCCCAAAGTGATGGCTTCCTATGAGATTGGGCAGCTGGAGGCTGGGGAAGAAACACCCCTTGGGCACAGAGGGGAGGCGGCAGGGATTAAAGAAATCTCATGAAATCCCCGCCTGTAGCTCAGTTGGGGCAGGCTCTTCCCCATTTTAAGACAGACAGAAAATCTGGCAAACAGCACCAGTCTTTCTCCAGGATGGCCAGTAATGCAGACTCTGCACAAGGACCCAAAACAGCGATAGGATACAGGTGACAAACACTGAACTGGAAGTGTGTGAGCAGATGAAACCGGGAGGGTTTTAATAGAAATCAGTAGCTTTTCTGGGATTTGCAAATAAATAAACCCAAAGTAATGTAATTTTTCAGAAGGCCAAAGCTAAGTAATTTATTTCTACGTGTCCATTTCCACGGGCTTTCCCCAGACTTCCTGACCAAAACACTCACTGCTGCTCCCTAAGAAATTTCAGCTCAAAGAGTTATTTTTAAAGACCGCTGCTACCAGCTGACAGGAAAATCAAATCCCAGCCTCTGATCTTAATGAAAGTCTTATACATTTTTCCTAACGTCGAAAGTATAAAGCAACATGAAAAATGACTAAAAACCAAAGCACCAGTTGCAGATCACATTCAGCACTTCACATCCATTTGGCACTAGTGTAAATCCACAGCTGGTAAAGGAAAGTGGATAAACCAGGCCTTTTATTTTAGACACAGCTGAGGGCTACCAGGGCATCCATAAAATGGATCTCCCACCTCAGCATTCTCATCCCCTCTTGCCTAAAGTACTAAACCCATTCCTGAAGACAGGGGAAATGGGCCAGTTTTGGCCTTCATTACAAAATCAGCTCTCAGGGAGGCTTTGCTGAGGTTTCCCGACTCAGTTCATGCAGATTGTGCTACAACAGCAACATGCCAGGTTAACTGCGACCCCAGGCAGGGCTCTTGTGAGAGAGGGGAATGGTTGGGACCCTCCTGGACGACCCTCCATCCTGGAGGAATGGGTTGGGAGGAGACAGAGGGAAGAGGAGGCTCTGTGACTCGTCGTGTACCCCACATCCCGTTTGATAAGCAATGCCAAGAGAAGGAGGAGAATTCAGAAAGGGGGGACCAGAATCAAAATCCAACGGGTCAGAAGCCTACAGGAAGGTGGGGAAAAAATATGCTGCATGTTAGTATCTCAGGTCCTTCCCTTCCACTGATACCATGATTGCAGTTGCTCTGCCAGCCTGCTTTACCTACCAAACTCGGCTACAGGCAGAATCATGCACATCGAGCTAGAAATCTCTGCCATTCAGAGAATTTATGAAAAATATTTTACTTTGGTCCCCCTGAAATTACACCGTTCTTATCTTTTATCTGTCTTAAGTGTCAGGAGAGTGTGATGTTAATGAGATGTACAAAGGCTTTTGGTTGGCTGAACAGTTTTATAGTCCCACATTGATAAATTAAAGCATTTGTCACTGTTACCACATTAATGTTTCTTCCTGAGATCAAAGTCTGGATTTGCTGCATCGAATAGTACCGCCCTCTGCTATGCATTACCATGCGTTACCTTCCAAGGAAATGAATTGTGATTCTGTATTTTTACATTCACAGTTTAATCACACCCTGATTCTCATACCTGCTATTGCCATCTCCACATGCAGTATGCAAGTCATTTTTTTAGTATGGATTTTCTCCTTGCTACCTGTATGAAAAGCCTGAATATCTTGTTTCAGGACAATCACCACCTTCTGGCTCTGAAAGGCTGCTTCTGCAGTAAAGAATACAGACAATTTCCTTCCTTCTGAAACCCTGGATTCAGTCATGTTAATTTACATTTATATAACACCTTTCATCCCTGAAGATCCCAATGCACTTTACAAACGCACCCTCTCTGTACACAGAAGCTGTACAAATATACACGGCTACATAAACAGACACAGCAATCCCATCACCGACAGCTGAAATGCATCTCTCTACGTGTATTCCCAGCACATTTGTGGCAAGTCAGCTCTGCACACCCTACATCATATCGCCATCAAGGAGGAAAATAAGGCAGCATGATTTAGAGGCATGCCATTTCCCTGCCGGGGAAGCACTAGGAATCTAGGCAAGCAACAGAACAGCTTTACAGCCTGGGCGACTGACATCTCCTTGGCACTCTGCTGCATAGGTTAAAATGAGGTAAAGACTGATTTGCGGTGAGTTATACCTCACTTCTTTTGCGCTATCAGTGCCTGTAGAAGTCCAGGCTTGCTGCTCCCTTCCACTGATGGGTGACCCTCAAGTAGTTTGTTTTATAAAACTGAAAAATACCTGCTTGCTTTGTAATGAGAACATAAGGGGAAATAAACACCCCTCTCCCTAACAGCAGTAGTTGACTAGCTCCTGCCAATCTGAGGATGGAGAAGAAGGAAAAACCCCAACATACCTGAGACACCTTTTTGACCACGTCGCTGCCCACAAGAAAGCCCTGCGCGTAGGAGCGTGCTGCGATGAAGGCTCGGGTTGCCTTCACCTTCAGGTCCCTGGGAACTTCCCCAAAGGGTTTGTGCTGCTCTGCATGTTTCACCATGCAGTCCAGGTACTCATCTGTGATATGGTACTGGGGATTCATCAGCTTGAAGAGCCGCTCCAGCAAGCGTGTCCAGAACTCATTGAGGGCCTCTTCCAAGTTGATGTTGGAGCCCCGGTAATAGCGGCGTAGCTCACTGTACAAGTCCTTGAAGACCTTCATGTTTTGAGTGTACAATTCTCCGTACATGCTTGGAAAAGCATCATAAAGGGCCTTTTCTGACTTGTTCAACAAATCCTGGAAATAACCTGAAGAGAGAAGAAAAAGGAGACGGTGATGCATCAGTTGGACAAGCAGGAATCCAATGGGCTGCGCTGTTTGGCAGCACAACTGAATGCCCTGAGAAAAGAGAAAGGGCCCTAACAGAGCTTTTCCTCCAACCAACCTTACCTACACTCTCAGTCTTGAGCCTTAGCTGAGAAGATTGAAGGAGGAATCCCCCCGTGCCAGTGCCAGAGCATCATGGTCTGGGCCTCTCCACCTCTTCTGGCAGCCTCACCTGGAACCAAAATTGAGGCTCTTCTCTGAGCGTGTAAGGTCTCATAGTGTTATTCACAGGTTTCCTTTACAGAACTCATCAACTGGCATTGCTGACATATACCATGACCTGCCACAGTTGTCAGCCAATGCCTTATGAGACACTCAACCCCAAATCAAGAACCAGCTGCTTCTAGCACAGAAGTTGACACTTGTTAAACATCACTAGAAAACATTGTAAAAACACAAGGACACCTGGATGTGTGTCCAGCACCTGGATGCTGCTCAGGCAATGGAGGTCTATCCTGTAATGACTGTTGTTAGAGTCAGACTAGTCTATCAATAGTAGCATCTACACCAGAATGAAGCAAGATAAAAATTTCATCTAGAAGATAACCTGAAGTCTTCCATTTCATCATGTCAAAGGTTGGAATTCCTCCAGCATCGCCTGCTCTTACCATCAGACAAAAGTGAGGGCTCTTCTGGAGAAGACTGCAACTTCTTCAATGTTAAAACCAAACTCCCCCCCCCCCCAAAATTTTTTTTTTT